ATCCTACAAGCGTGAACCGCTGCAGTCCTAAAAACACACTTGCATAGACTTCTATAAGAAAGTATTTCTCCCACGACACCGGAGATAAATCCCTTGTGTGTCTAATCACACTTGGCTAAATAAAGCGGTTCCGTTCTCTTCTACAGGTAGTCCTCAGCTTGCAACCACAATTGACCCCCCCAAATTTTTGCTGCTAACGGAAACATTTGTTAAGTGAGTTTTGCCCCGTTTTATGACCTTTTTTGCCACAGTTAAGTGAACCGCTGCAGTTGTTAAGTGAGTCACGTGGTTGTTAAGTGAATATGGCTTCCCCCCGCTGACTTTGCTTGTCAGAAAGTCGCCAAAGGGGATCACGTGACTCCGGGACATGGCGATCGTCATAAATATGAACCAGTTGCCAGGCATCTGAATTTTGATCACGGGATGCTGCAATGGTCATAACTGTGATAAACGGTCATAACTCACTTTTTTCAGTAGCTTTGAACGGTATTCTATTTCAAATTCTATTCCAAATTCTATTCTATTCCAAATTCTGTTCTATTCCAAATTCTATGCTATGCTATGCTATTCTATATTCTGTTCTATTCTAATTTTATATATTCTATTCTATATTCTATTTTATTCTATCCCATAATTCTATTCTATTCTATTCTATCCCATTATTCTATTCTATTCTATTCTATCCCATAATTCTATTCTATTCTATGCTATTCTATGCTATTCTATTATTTATTCCATTCCAAATTCTATTCTATTCTAATTTTATATATTCTATTCTATTCCATTCCATTCTATTCTATTCCAAATTCTATTCTAATTTTATATATTCTATTCTATACTATACTATATTGTACTATTCTATACTATTCTATTCTAATTTTATATATTCTATTCTATTCTAATTTTATTCTATGCTCTTTTCTATTCTATTCTATTATTCTGTTCTGTTCTATTCTGTTCTGTTCTATTCTTCTATTCATTTTCTATATTCTATTCCTGTTCTGATTCTGTTCTGATTCTGTTCTGTTCTGTAATTCTAGTCTACTCTACTCTAATTCTATTCTAATTCTATTATGCATCTTAAGTCTTGTACCTCAAGACGAGCAGTTTTGCAAGATTTGGACACCCTGAACTTCAGAGTTACTTTACTTTATTTTTAAAGATAGATTCCTCTACGCCCTTGGTGTTCCAAGAGAAACACCTTCCAGCTTTTTTTTTTCCTTTCTCCGAAAAAAGAAAGCACATCTCCTCTAAAATGAGAGGCAAATTGGCATTCCGGAAGCTGGTGGGTCGCCAGCGCTTCTGGCAGCCACCTGTTTTTAAATGCCCCGCAGGATTCTTGCTCTGTTTCAGATGCTTCCAATTTGCCAGCCGGCCGTCCATGCTGGCGAGGGCCTGGTCTGCTTTTTATCTTTCTTTCCAGTGAGCTCATAATTCACTTGAGCCTCCGGGGAGGAAACACATAAATGGTTCCTTGTTTACAAGAAGCTCCAAAAAAAGCTCCAGCTTCTTAACTAGACACTTGGCCTCTGGGGGGGGGGGATCATCTTCTCTAAAGAGAAGATGGGGGAAAAGGGGACACGCTGCAAAAAAACCCCCACCCAATTGATCCTGATTGTGAGGATGCCACACACTGCCCACAGTCTTTGCAGCAGGCTCTTGTCTGACTCAAATGAAGTGGGGACAAAGGGTCTCTGTGAATGGTAGCCAGGGGGTCTTCCCCGCTGTCCTATAGATAGCCCTTCTGTTGGGGGCTAGGGCATTTTGGAAGTCTGACCTCATCTGGAGCTGCTGAGAGTCAGGGCTCCTTGTACAGTTGAGAGTTCAGGGCTCAAAATGTCCAGCTGTCACAGTGATGGCGAACCTTTTAGAGACCGAATGCCCAAACTGCAACCCAAAACCCACTTATGCATCGTCGGGTGTGCCGGGTGGGCGTGGCCCATTGGGGGGGGTGTGGCCCATTGGGGGTGTGTGGCCCATTGGGTGGGCGTGGCTGCGGTGGTAACGGCAGACTGGGTGGGACTAAAAAGTTCCACCAATCAATTCCAACTTTGCGGGATCTTTTTTTTCCCCGCGAGAAGTTGAAATTGACTGATTGATTGAACCCCTTTTTTTTGCACACGGCAGCAGAGGCCTAAAGCGAAAAGGTTTTATAAAACCCAGCTGAAGGCCTAGGACTGGGGCGACGGCACACGTGCCCACAGAGAGGGCTCTGAGTGCCACTTGTGGCACGCGTGCCATAGGTTCGCCACCACGGAGTTATCATATAGCAACAGCACTTAGACTTACATACCGCTCCATAGGACCTTTGACAGCCCTCTCTGAGCAGTTTACAGAGTCAGCCTGTTTGCCCCCAACAATCTGGGTCCCCATTTTATTGACCTCAGAAGGCTGAGTCAACCTTGAGCCAGTCAGGGTCAAACTCATGGCAGTGGGCAGTCAGCCTGCAATGCTGCATTATAACTACTGTGTCACCACAGCTTCCTTCCTTCCTTCCTTCCTTCCTTCCTTCCTTCCTTCCTTCCTTCCTTCCTTCCTTCCTTCCTTCCTTCCTTCCCAAGCAACAGCACTTAGACTTATATACCGCTTTACAGCCCTCTCTAAGCAGTTTATAAAGTCAGCCTATTTGCCCCCAACAACCTGGGTCCTCATTTTACCGACCTCGGAAGGATGGAAGGCTGGGTCAACCTCAAGCCGGTCAGGGTCAGACTCATGGCAATGGGCAGTCAGCCTGCAATGCTGTATTATAACTACTGTGTCACCACAGCTTCCTTCCTTCCTTCCTTCCTTCCTTCCTTCCTTCCTTCCTTCCTTCCTTCCTTCCTTCCTTCCTTCCTTCCTTCCTCCCTCCCTCCCTCCCTCCCTCCCTTCCTTCCTTCCTTCCATAGCACTTAGACTTATATACTGCTTTACAGCCTTCTCTAAGCAGTTTACAGAGTCAGCCTATTTGCTCCCAACAATCTGGATCTTCATTTTACCGACCTCGGAAGGACGGAAGGCTGAATCAGCCTTCAGCCAGTCAGGATCAAACTCCAGGCACTGGGCCTGCAATACTGTATTCTAACTATTGCGCCACCATGACGAAGGAAGGAAAGAAAGAAGGAAGGAGGAAAGAGAGGGAGAGAAAGAGGGAGGGAGGGAAGGAGAAAAGGCAGGGAAAGAAAGAAGAGAAGGAAGGAAACAGGATTTAAATGTATCGGTTTAAAACGTTAAAAGAGCTGTCCATCTTTTAACCAGCTCTGGGCGTCTCCCAGTCCGACGCTAAACCGGCATACAAAGCCATATTAAAACTATCAAAGCCAACCCATTAAAGACGTGAAAAGCATTGGCGCCAAGCCAAACGTCTGATGTGCAGCGTCTAAATAAGGTTCTCGCAGCGCTCGGAGGAAGAGCCGGGACTTCAAAGGGTTGAGGCGGTGTAGTGGTTGCTTGCCAGACTGACAAGGCTTCACCAGATGGATTGACCACCAACCACGCTCCAGTTCCTTTCTTATCCGTGAAAAGACTCTTCACCGTTTTCAAAATGAGAATGACTTCCCCAATTGTTTTTCCAATAGAGTAGACTAGAACAGTGATGGCGAACCTTTCAGAGACCGAGTGCCCAAACTGCAACCCAAAACCCACTTATGCATTGTCGGGTGCTGGGTGGGCGTGAGCCCATTGGGTGGGCATGGCTGCGATGGAAACGGCAGACTGGGTGGGACTAAAAAGTTCAATCAATCAATTCCAACTTTGCGAGATCTTTTTTTTCTCGCGAGAAGTTGAAATTGACTGATTGATTGAACCTTTTTTTTTTTTTTTTGCACACGGCAGCAGAGGCCTAAAGTGAAAAGGTTTTATAAAATCCAGCTGAAGGCCTAGGACTGGGGCGACGGCGCGCATGCCCACAGAGAGGGCTCCGAGTGCTGCCTCTGGCACCCGTGCCATAGGTTCGCCACCACTGGAATAGAATTTGGAGTGGAATGGAATGGAAAATGGAATGGAATAGAAGAATATAGAATGAAATATTACAGAATATTAGAATAGAATAGAATAGAATAGAATAGAATAGAATAGAATAGAATAGAATAGAATAGAATAGAATAAGAACAGGAATAGAATGGAATAGAATAGAATAGAATAGAATAGAATAAGAACAGGAATAGAATGGAATAGAATAGAATTAGAATAGAATAGAATAGAATAGAATAGAATAAGAACAGGAATGGAATAGAATAGAATAGAATAGAATAAGAACAGGAATAGAATGGAATAGAATAGAATAGAATAGAATAGAATAGAATAGAATAGAATAGAATAAGAACAGGAATGGAATAGAATAGAATAGAATAGAATAGAATAGAATAGAATAGAATAGAATAGAATTATAGGATAGAATAGAATTACAGGATAGAATAGAATTACAGGATAGAATATGGAATAGGTTTTTATTTTTGTTTATTTTTTTAAATTTATGTATAAAATTTATATTGTCCTCAACTTAAGCCATCACAATTAGGGCCAGAATTGAAGTTTTACGACGGTGATGGGTGGGCTTCATTAATGGCTGTTACTTGAGGACTATGTATACAACCACAATCAAGCCCCAAAATTGTGTTGCTCAGGATGTGGGTTTTGCCTCATTTAACGACCTTTCTGGCTACAGTCGTTAAGTGAACCACTGCACGGTTGTTAAGTGAAACCGGCTTCCCCTATTGGCTTGGCTTGTCGGGGAGGTCGTAAAAGGGGATCACATGACCCCGGGAACATTGCGACCGTCCTAAGTATGAGTCAGTTGCCAAGTGTCTGAATGTTGATCCCGTGACGCCTTGGTCGTAAGTGTGAAAAACGGCCGTAGGTCCCTTTTTTTCAGTGCCGTTGTAACCTTGAACGGTCACTAAACAAACCGTTGTAAGTCGGGGACTCCCTCTGTGGCACTCAAGAGCGCACTGCTTGTGTTTTTGAGCCGTGACGGAGTCAGAGGCGAGTGCTCAGATTTGACTCTTCTGTTTTCTCCTTAGCAAAGGGTTGAAATCCACAAACTCCGCCAGGGCGAGAATCTCATCCTGGGCTTCAGCATCGGGGGTGGCATCGACCAGGATCCCGCCCAGAATCCCTTCTCGGAGGACAAGACGGACAAGGTTGGCACGGAGCCCCCGTTAGGGACGTGTTTCTTGGATACAAAAAAATTGTATATCCCAGGTCCAATTTTGGAGGCCAAGGGAGTATCAACAGAAGAGAATATTTTAGACCAGGGTTGAACTGTGGGGGTCCCTGGTGCTCTCTGAGCTGCGTGGTTTCCTTGCAGACGTTTCATGACCCCACTAGGTAACATCATCAGTGCTAGAAGGGAGCAGGAGGAGGAGGACTGTGGGGGCCTTGGTGCTCTCTGAGCTGGATGGTTTCCTTGCAAACGTTTCATGACCCAACTAGGGAACATCCTCAGTGCTAGAAGGGAGCAGGAGGAGGAGGACTTTGGGGTTCCTGGTGCTCTCTGAGCTGGATGGTTTCCGTGCAGACGTTTCATGACCCAACTAGGGAACATCATCAGTGCTAGAAGGGAGGAGGAGGAGGATTGTGGGATCCTTGGTGCTCTCTGAGCTGGGTGGTTTTCCTGCAGACATTTCATGACCCAACTAGGTAGCATCATCAGTGCTAGAAGGAAGGGGGGAGGTTTGCGAGGAGAAAGGAAGGGAAGCAGGAGGAGCAGAAGGAGGACTGTAGGGTCCCTGGTGTTCCCTGAGCTGCGTAGTTTCCTTGCAGACGTTTCATGACCCAACTAGGTTATGTCATGTGTTGTAGAGGGAGGAGGAGGAGGAGGCTGGAGAAAGAGGCCATCAGACTCTCATTAAGCAACCTGGGGGGGGGGGAGGAACAGTTTCATGAGAGATCATCCAGGCAGTGACCCCTCCCCTCCTGTTTCTCCCCCCCCCTCCAGGGCATTTATGTCACTCGCGTGACGGAAGGTGGACCGGCAGAAATGGCGGGGCTTCAAGTCGGCGACAAAATCATGCAGGTAAAATTCTGTTCTGTTTAAAGGAGCAGCTGGACGCTTTGCCCTGCTCTCCCCTCCCTCGGTGTCTTTAAACCAGCGGTTCTCCACCTGTGGGTCGGGACCCCATTTGGGGTCGAACGACCATTTCACGGGGGGTCGCCAAACAACACAGTCCACCATTTTTCCCCCCTTTTCCTTAGCTGTGCGACTCCCTTTTATTCTATTGGCTTTTGAAAACCAATAGAATAGACTCTCTTGAATAGAGTCTAATTCTATTGGCTTTCCAAAGCCAATAGGAATTGTCCAGGCTGTCTCTGCCCTGCTGAGCCCACCAAAAGTCCCATTCTGCAAACGGTGCTGCACCAGTTGAGTAGTCCTCGACTTACGACCGGTTGAGTAGTCCCCGACTTACGACCGGTTGGGGGTCGCGGCATTAAAAAGGTTGAGAACCACTGCTTTAAAGCCAAATTGATGGAGATTGATTATTATTCCAGAGGATGCTCTATCAAACTCAAAGATCAGGAGAAGTCCTATATAAATATTGTCATGTGTCTGATTAAGGAAACACTTCAAAGAACTTTCAGGCATTTTTTTAACCTAAAAAGCCTTTATTACTGTTACAGAGACGTCAGCACGGCATGGTGGAAGTGCTAAGATCTGAATTTCTCTTCCTTTGCACACAACATTCCAGGCATCTCCCCTTTCCTGTTTTGGGGTCACGATTCACATCTTCCAATTAACTTGGCGGGCAAAGATGTACTTCATGTTTCTTTTTCCCGGGCTTTCCTTATATTCTCTTCCCCTTTCACTGTCAACTGATTTAACTTTAAAAATGCCAGACAGTTCTGCATATATTGTCAAAGCAAGAATATTCAATATTAGCAGACTTGACAAATATATATATATATATATATATATATATATATATATTAATATATTATATATAATATATATATATATATATATATATATATATTATATGATTGGAAATAAAAACAAAAACATGACTCTTGGGAATATTCATGTTAGTCAAATAGTCATGATCACCAAGAGAGTATCTATAAAAATAGAATTTTAATCCACCGAGCTTTCGTCAAACACAATTGACATCGTCAGGGTTAAAAGGTAAGTGCCGGGGGAAAGTGTTATATACAGCTGTTTAGTGTCTGCTTCCGGCTCCTGGAGCGTGTCATAGGCCCCACCTGATCGGGTTGGGTCTCCAGCCTACATCCCACATTACTAATCTGCATTCTGTCATAAGTTGTTTCAGAGTTGGGAGTCCAGATCTTTTTGCCTTCCTTGCTCATAGCCTCCCCCCCACCACCATCCCACACACGACTTCCCTCTACGAGTGGGTGTGGGCAATTATCACTTTCAGTATCCTTACAAGCCTCACGGCTATTTTGGTCTTGTTTATCCGTCTCCCGGAATTGTGCCCTAGATTCATAACCCCCGCCCATATTGTTCCTCCTCCCCTCCTTCTTCCCCTGGGTTCCCCTGTACGGTCCGCTGTTCGTTCCCACACGCTCTGTCTTGCGCACCGTCAAGATGTTTTTTGTCGTTGTCCTATTGTCAGTGGCTCGTTGTTCCATCCGTTGCCGGTGGGCAACGTTACCGTCTGTCCTTGGTTCTCCATTCCCACTCCATACGGCGTTCTTCCCCTTTAATTGTAGTCGCTGTTTCATCCCATAACTTTGCGCTGGGGGTGTCGAAGGGGGGTGCATTCTCCTGCTGGATTGCGATCGAGTTGTCATGCTGTGTCTGGTAGCCTCCTCATGGGGGGGTTCATCGTCGTTCTCCTCATCTCTACCGGACCTGGTTGTATTCCGTTTTTCTTCCAGTTTCTCGAATCCCCATCCATTTCCATTCCATCTCCATGCTGTTCCGTTCTCTACGGATCGTGGCGAATCCGTCCGCAGTTGTCTGCCAGGACTGGTCTGTAGTTGTTCCAGGAAGGGGGGGCCATCAGTGGGGGCTGCATTAATGTGATTACATGAGGAGGAGGGTCGGGCGATGTCTTCTGGATAGTAAGTCTTTGAATTAGGTCCCCTCTCCCGGTTAATGCGGCTACCAGCATTCCATATTTTCAGAGCCTGGTGTGCTGCACACAAATCCACACGCCTATTGATGGATTCAGTTTCTGAGAACCATGCCTCTTTTAATAAGCGGCCTCTTTTTGTGATATCGTTAGCCAAGATTTGGGCATTCTCAAAATCAAAACGATGGCCGTATTCTACTGCATGAGCCCAAATCTGGGAGTGTTGTTCACCCCGTCTGATGGCTAGCCTATGCTCATGTAGGCGGGTCTTAAGTCTTTTCGAGGTCTCGCCTATGTAATTACTCTGGCAATCCGCACAGTTGATTTTATAAACTATGGCTGATCTCTCGGCGGTGGGGAGCTGATCTTTGGGGCGCATCACCTTAGCTCGTATGGTTTGGGTGGGTTTGTGGGCTACCTGTATGTTGTGGGGTGCCAGAAGCCTGGCTGTAGCCTCTGACACATTTCTGATGTACGGTAGTGACACGCGTATGACCCGTGTCTGGAGGTCCTCTCTTGATTGTCCATTATGTAGTCCGGGTGCCATACTGTGTCGCTTAATAAACCTCGGGGGATACCCATTCATTCGGCATATGCGGAATAGATGTTTTCTTTCTTCTGCCTTAGCTTCCATGGTGCTGCAGTGCGACTGTACCCGTTTGAACAAGGTCTTAATACAGCTGGCCTTATGGGAGGCCGGATGATTACTATGGAAATGGAGGATGCGGTCCGTATGAGTGGGCTTCCGATAGACCTTGGTGTTCAGAGTTCCATCTGGGGAACGTTGGACCAGTACGTCCAGGAAGGCTATCGAGCCCCGGACCTCCTCCTCCAACGTAAACTTAATGTCCGGATATATTGAATTTAATACTCCCATAAAGCCGGCTAAATGGTCTCGTTTGACGACCACAAAAGTGTCGTCAACGTACCGTGCCCAAAACTTGGGCTGTTGACGGGTCATAGCCTCGTGTTCTAATTGTTGTAGAACCGCTTCTGCCACCACGCTGGATATTGGGGAGCCCATCGGTGTGCCTTTGACCTGTTCATATATATTCCCTTGAAAGGAGAAGTAAGTTGTAAGACATAGCTCAATGAGTTGCGTTAGGTCCCCTGGTTGCAGGGAATCCCGGTGTCCGGTTTTTCCTAGTTTTTCTAATCTATCCCTTAGGACTCTCAGGGCCAGTTCTTGGGGGATGGAGGTAAAGAGTGAGGTGACGTCAAAAGAGACCATCACCTCATCCTCCTCCACCCTAAGGGTCCTGATCCTCCCCAGGAATTCCTCTGCGGATCTGACTGTAGTGGGGCTGCCATCGACCAGGTAGGATATGCGGTCACTAAGCCACTTCGCCAACCCTGAGATGGGAGTGCCTCTAAACGACACGATAGGGCGAAGTGGAATATCCTGCTTATGGATTTTTGGCAGTCCATAAAACCTCGGGAGCGCAGAATCATTGGGTCGTATTCTCCTTAAGGTATCTTCATCAAGTTTCTTTGATTGTTTAAAACTATCAAGTAACTTGTTGATTTTATTTTTCAGGGCCACCATGGGGTCTTTCTTAATAATTCTGTAAGCAGTCTTGTCATTTAATAACTGCAGCACTTTGGCCACATAGAGTGCCCTGTCCATCACCACTGTGGCCCTCCCCTTATCAGCGGGGAGTATCACAATGGTGGCGTCCCTCTTAAGATGTTCCAGGGCCTCCGTTTCATCCCTAGGTAACACTTGATGGTGCCTATGACGCATAAGCGACCCCGTGACCTGCTGCCTGATTAAATTCGCCGAATTTTCTCCCAAATCCTCGTGGTGCATAGCCGGTTCCAACGCGGCAACGAAGTCTAACAGATTCGCATCCATCAGGTTATATCCTGCGTCGCGCTGCAACAGCGCAAGTTGGGGGCGGGTGAGGGTCTTTGAGGATAAATTATGTACCACATCATCCATATACCTATTACCCTTTAATCCCCGTAAAGTGTCTATCTTACGTTGGAGGCGTATGGCAGTCTGTTGATTGGTTCTCTCCGCCATTGACCGGACGTGCTGGTCGAGCATTTGGAAGTGTTGCTCTGATAAATCTCTGTTACATTGTTCACGAAGACAGTTGGCTCCCGTCTTCAAGGTTCCCACTCGACGGTGTTGATCATTAATGAGTGCTCGTACCGTGCGACGTTGGAATTGTCTCACCGCTAACTGGCATTCAGCAGAATTCACTGCAGGTCTCCTCATTAATGATTTGGGTGGGAGTTCTTCACGCATGCAGGCGTGCAGGAAGGCTAACTTGCGATAACAAGCCGAGATACGGCATACCGACTTCTCCCAGCGCCTTGCCTTGAGCAAAACTGCTCTGTTATAATGATTGGAAATAAAAACAAAAACATGACTCTTGGGAATATTCATGTTAGTCAAATAGTAATGATCACCAAGAGAGTATCTATAAAAATAGAATTTTAATCCACCGAGCTTTCGTCAAACACAATTGACATCGTCAGGGTTAAAAGGTAAGTGCCGGGGGAGAGTCTTATATACAGCTGTTTAGTGTCTGCTTCCGGCTCCTGGAGCGTGTCATAGGCCCCAGCTGATCGGGTTGGGTCTCCAGCCTACATCCCACATTACTAATCTGCATTCTGTCATAAGTTGTTTCAGAGTTGGGAGTCCAGATCTTTTTGCCTTCCTTGCTCATAGCCTCCCCCCCACCACCATCCCACACACGACTTCCCTCTACGTAGGCGAGACCTCGAAAAGACTTAAGACCCGCCTACATGAGCATAGGCTAGCCATCAGACGGGGTGAACAACACTCCCAGATTTGGGCTCATGCAGTAGAATACGGCCATCGTTTTGATTTTGAGAATGCCCAAATCTTGGCTAACGATATCACAAAAAGAGGCCGCTTATTAAAAGAGGCATGGTTCTCAGAAACTGAATCCATCAATAGGCGTGTGGATTTGTGTGCAGCACACCAGGCTCTGAAAATATGGAATGCTGGTAGCCGCATTAACCGGGAGAGGGGACCTAATTCAAAGACTTACTATCCAGAAGACATCGCCCGACCCCCCTCCTCATGTAATCACATTAATGCAGCCCCCACTGATGGCCCCCCCTTCCTGGAACAACTACAGACCAGTCCTGGCAGACAACTGCGGACGGATTCGCCACGATCCGTAGAGAACGGAACAGCATGGAGATGGAATGGAAATGGATGGGGATTCGAGAAACTGGAAGAAAAACGGAATACAACCAGGTCCGGTAGAGATGAGGAGAACGACGATGAACCCCCCCATGAGGAGGCTACCAGACACAGCATGACAACTCGATCGCAATCCAGCAGGAGAATGCACCCCCCTTCGACACCCCCAGCACAAAGTTATGGGATGAAACAGCGACTACAATTAAAGGGGAAGAGCACCGTATGGAGTGGGAATGGAGAACCAAGGACAGACGGTAACGTTGCCCACCGGCAACGGATGGAACAACGAGCCACTGACAATAGGACAACGACAAAAAACATCTTGACGGTGCGCAAGACAGAGCGTGTGGGAACGAACAGCGGACCGTACAGGGGAACCCAGGGGAAGAAGGAGGGGAGGAGGAACAATATGGGCGGGGGTTATGAATCTAGGGCACAATTCCGGGAGACGGATAAACAAGACCAAAATAGCCGTGAGGCTTGTAAGGATACTGAAAGTGATAATTGCCCACCCCCACTCGTAGAGGGAAGTCGTGTGTGGGATGGTGGTGGGGGGGAGGCTATGAGCAAGGAAGGCAAAAAGATCTGGACTCCCAACTCTGAAACAACTTATGACAGAATGCAGATTAGTAATGTGGGATGTAGGCTGGAGACCCAACCCGATCAGCTGGGGCCCATGACATGCTCCAGGAGCCGGAAGCAGACATTAAACAGCTGTATATAAGACTCTCCCCCGGCACTTACCTTTTAACCCTGACGATGTCAATTGTGTTTGACGAAAGCTCGGTGGATTAAAATTCTATTTTTATAGATACTCTCTTGGTGATCATTACTATTTGACTAACATGAATATTCCCAAGAGTCATGTTTTTGTTTTTATTTCCAATCATATATATATATATATATATATATATATATATATATATATATATATATATATATATATATATACATATATATATATATAATAATATATATATATATATATATATATATATATATATATATAATATATATATATATATATATATATATATATTGAACCAACCCATTTTATGAAAAGCTGTTGGCTTTTGTGAACTGCAGATCGCTCCCCCGGCTTTCGGGGACGTGGCTAGGCTGATGCAGGATTTAAATTCTATTTTAACGTAGTTTGTTCCCCTTATGATCTCTTTTGGAAGAAGGGTTTTGGACGGTGTTGCAAAAATCAGGAGGAGCCGCAGTGCCTGTTTCTGACCCCCACGTTTTTATTAAATAAATCACCTTTTGCAAGCCGTGGTGAAGGGCTAATAGACCAATGTAGG